ACATCGGAATACCAGTAACTTTGCAAACAGAGCGTTTTTTCTACTGAACGTCCAGATCCTGTCAAAATGTCAAGTAAATTCTAGAATTGAAAGTACGAGCCGGGCGAAAAAGAGCGTCTCTTATCTTGAAACATCGGAATACATAATGAGAAGAGACGAAGAAGTGCACAGATTCTATGACAGACGAGCAAAAACCTTTACATGAGCAAAAGTCCTTATGGAACAAAATTGTTCCCCATACACAGATGTATGTACATGAAATCTGGACGGCCCATAGGACCAACAAACCAGTGCTTAAAAAAGCGATTTCACCCTCTTCAGGAATGGTGAAAAGCAGTAGGTACTAAAAAAATGAAACGTTCCCTCTACTCTCAGTATGAGGGGATCTACTTGCTCGAACTTTGTAGATACAGTATAAAATTCGTGGCCCCAGTAATACAAAGCCCTACAAAGTCAGAGGAAAAGAACCATGTACTTCCAAGAACCGCTCCTCGAGTGTCCTGGCCATCTTTGCCTTGCATGGCCTATTCAAATCATCTCATGGAGCCGGCATGCTGAATATCAACTGGCGATCGCCCCTATTTTCCTGGGTCCTACACAAAATCGCCCCCGTTCTATTCACGATAAGTTTCGAGTCAGTTCGATCAAAGGGCTTCCCTCATTGGCAGGCTCCCCTCATTTGCTGGCATTAGGCACAAAGAAGTTTTCTGGATCTTTCTAAAAAATCACTGATCGAGACCGTGCCCATAACACCGCCGACCCTGAAGTAACCCACCACGCTCAAGAACAATTACCGCGTAAGCCTGTGTTTATGTGGATAAAAGGGGAGGTAGGGGTACTTGAGGTCATTCTTCCTAAACAAATAATGCACCAGTCAGGAACGAGCGATGCTCTCAAGGAAAACGCCCATCCGTTCAGCGTGACCAATTCCTGTAAGATGATCCAACTACCCATAACTAGAGTTATAAAAATATCGCCCGTACACATATAAGTAGCTATATAACGAACTACGATGGCCACACTTGAATATCCAAACAAAGCGAAAACAAAACAGAAATTCAGAAAAGCGAACAAAGGTGGAAGGAATGTGGGGAAAATCGGACATGAGCGCTGATTTTATATCAACGGAATCGAAAAAAAATCTGAAACGAACGGGAAAGCACACAAACGAGTTAGTCAAATTGTTCACGCTGACATTCAAAATCATTGTCAATACAGAACATTCTCGCCGAAATGAATTCCAACATCGCACGAAAGATTTTGATATGTATGGAACCGAGATAATACGGTCATGTTCTCAACCAATAATCAGATTCAAATTTGAAACTTTATTAAAACTGAAAGTGAAGCCAGTAGTCATGTAATAAACAAATTACTCGGACAAAAAGTATGAACGTAACAGATGGTTGATTTGATTGGGAAGAAATAAATAACGACTTTAACAATAAAATTTCTAGAATAGATTCTGGACAAGTTCTACGAATATCACATAGGCACCATCAGGATAGGAGAAAAAATCAATAAATTATTATGTGCTCGAAAATGTAATAGAAGTAAAAAAATCAAATAAAAACATAAAATAGTAAATTTAAGTAAAAACCGCCAACCGTCCCACGAGACTTACGGTTGTTGTTTAAGCCGAGCGATCAACTCATTCAGTACTTGGATCTGCGCCTGAATCAAAAGCTTTGAGCAGGTAAAATTAAACTATGAGACTTTATATTACTCTTCTCACTTAGCAGTTCAATTTTCGTTGATTTTTAGAAAACACAAAAATGAAAAGCATCAGAGGTTTGAAAAACAATGACTTCATTGAACCATCGTGGGAATTCGCTGTTACTTGGATCTGTCCGGGTACTGGCGGCCATCCTAGTGAATAAGAACAAACGAACACCAGGACACCTGCCGGCGCGACGGTCAGATCTCTTCACGGAAGCTCTGTCGAATGGAATGCTATGCCTCATGCCCCTCAAGGGAAGACAATCCACTGTTCTACTCTGACTCGTGACAGGAACGAATGGAGACGTTAGTGGCTCCCGCTCTAGGAAATCGATGATCAGAGGGACGACAGGTAATACAGGTGATACTCCATATCCTTTAATCTATTGCAAGAACCGGACGGACCTCGCACCGGGACTTCTTCATTCAAAGAGGGCTCACCTAACCCAGCTCGCTCTTCCTCAGCTCAGGAGCATCCAAAATAAACGACATAAAGTACAAGGGAAAGGAACGTGCTTGAAAACGAGGAAAGCATTTTATATGAGCCAATGGGAATTGCGCTTGGCATGGTAAAAGACACACTTACAAGGGTTCATGTTGCGGAAACGGAGCCGAGCCCATTTCCTAGTGTTATAAAATAGATGGCTACTATGAACATAAATGAGATGTGTGAAGCACAACCGACTCCAACGCTTGCCTAACGCTTTCCTTCCCTCAGGTACTGGCGGAATTAGGCAACAGCCCCAACTGTAGTACGCTTAACACAAAAGCCGCTTTCATACTGTACACCCAGCTGAACACGTACGAGACCAGTTAGACGAGCATAGAACTGGAAACAAAATCTACTGCGTTTGGGCACTATCGCCCACATCATCGATATCAAAAAAAGTGCGTCGACGAAACACAAGAACAGACGCATACTAATCAGATGATTACATGATGCATCGCTGTGTACGGTAAACGCTGTACGATAACTCATGGAAAGAACAAAATGCCTACATCAATCGAAATGATTCAATGACAAGGAATCCATCGATCTTCAGATGGCTGAAGAATTTATAGAGAAAGCGGCATATGGAAGAAAAAAAGCAGCGAGTTGCCATGGAACATTCTCAGAAAGGTCTCTAGACCAAAAATGAACCGGAAAGAAGAGTGTATCACAATCACGCGGGAGCTGAGGCCATATATAAGGTTAGCCTTNACCAGGGAGTCTGAATCATATCCAGTCCGAAGAGCTTGCTGGACCGCTGCTGGTTTCTGGGTGGTCGCGGGGATCGGTCGGATCAACGGTAAGTGGCCCAACTTACAGTTGCGTGAAGTTCTCTGAGGTCTCGAATTTCTGTAATGTAGTTGATACGTTTGATCGGGTAATCATAAATTGCTTCGATCGTTCCAGGCTCTGAAGAAGGCGATCTACGCCGAAACGTTAGCCGGAATAAAATTTTTTATCAACCTCGTCCAAGTTCAAGCAAAGAAAACAACGATTCTCAGAAAGGTTCAAGTAGTTTCCAGACATTTTCTCGTCTACCTATCAGGACCTCTCATGACAGCTGAATGCATGGCGCTTCGCTGTATTACTGGAGTACCATCGACTCACTTTTTGGAGCTAGCTCCCCTTGGAATATGAAGTTACCTAATGTACCAGTTCTCAATAAACGAATAAAAACTTAGAAGCACTTGCTACTTCAGTGCAACCTTCACTTCATAGTAGGGTAGAGCAAAAGTCTATTTTATCCTTCCCACTCCACTCCCATTCCACATTTACTCCCGGTAAGTTCCTCGCCAGCTGTTTATTAACGAGAACCTTTCCAAGCAGTTTCGTGCAACTTTTTTTTCAACCATTCCCAGGCAGAAACAATCCTACTACTTTTCGTACGACTGCTTGCAAAGAATTACCATCCACGTTGAGATGTTCTCTGACTGGAATAAAGAGAAAAGTGTCAAGGGCCAAAGATTGCCTTCTATCCCCCACCCCTCGCCCTTACATCTTTCCTAACAAGCTTTTCTTTGCAAATGTTAGGGAGAACACTGGCAAGTATCACTTGAACAGGTAATCAGATCAGATAGTTTAAAAGCAAGACAAAAAAAGCGAGGTTAAATTTTATAATCCCAAAAAAGAGGTATTTTCCTGTAGAAGAGCGCTGCCAGAACGGAGAGAGAAGAAAAGCTGTGTTTATATAGGCACCTCTACACTTGAATTTGATGAAGAGTTTCATGCGATGCTATCTCATCCAGTTTTCACCTTCTGTCTACACAAAGTGCACGAGTATTTTTATAATAACTGTCCGAAACAGACTGTAATAATGTACCGTACTGTCATTTCTTTGAAAAAAAAANAAAAAAAAACAATGGCAGTCATCGGCTGGTACTGTTAAACGAGACCCTCAACAGCGGAAAGAAAAATCACTAGATCATTGATCGACGTGGGAGATGATATAGGAATAATTATTTGGGATACAATTTTCAAAATGTTGAGATTCATGGTAGAGATGGAGGAATTGGATACCCAGACCTTTCAATCACACAAGACAAAAGGATTTTGGGAAAAGAGTGAGAACTTCTTCGAAGGAAACAATCGAATTACAATGTGGATGGTCATTTTCGGGCCTTCCCTGACTTCAACTGATTGGCTTCCTTTCGATAGACTCACTAAGTAGGTAATAGATAAGGTAATCCGTACTGATAAAACTCTCCGAGGCGCCCATTAATTCGGATCGGTAGCCTTGTGTAGGTGCTCCTGGTCTGCACTATGAGGGGCTATGGGTAATATGTTTACAACACTGTTTGCATCCCCTAAACTGCGTTCAGCTGTAATCATTGACAGTTTTCTTAGACTAGCGTCCGACAACGAATCGATCTCAGAGGACTAGGACGCCGACAGAGTCAGAAAACCCAGACGAAAAGGCTTCAACAGAGTCGGCCATCACCGTAGTTCCTCCACCACCATGAGAGTGTACATAAGAAAGAAAAAGATTCCTCATGATAAAGCCATGACGTCGGCTTTCATTCAGAAATACGACCTCATTTGGATGAGTTCTTTACCTCTCCCCATAGAACCGTCCTCTGCTAGATCCATGTTTTTCGTCCTTCGTATTTGGAACAGGTAGTAGATCCCATTCCTCAGAGAAGGAAGATTTATCCGAAACACCACCTTACCATCATTATCCCAAGAATTCCCATAACCAGTCAGAAAAAGGAAAAGGTAAGGCAACAAGTACAGTAGTCAGTGAATAGTAGCTATGTTCTAGAGAAATTCCCCACGGAAAAATCACCCGATAGATTCATACCTTCGCATGTTTAATCTCAAGATCAGCAAGATCGGCAAGATTTTTCTTGAAAGCCAACACTCGGCGCTTTTTCAGATCCTTCAGTTCGGTCTTCGCTAAAGCGCTGATGTCCTCGAATTTCTTGCAGGCCTCTTGCTGCTCGGTTTCAGCCTGAAGTGAACTATGATTTCAATGAAAGTCTTGTTGAAATATTGAATTTCGCCGAGTAAAATAACTACTGAAAAGCAAAAAAACATTCTGAGGTAGCCCTCAAACAACCTTTCTATTTCAACCACGTTTGATAGCATCTATTTCATTGCCAGATAATTGACAAAATTGGATCTTAACCCTTCTGCTCTGCCCTGGCCTACTCCCAAACAAATTAGACCAATTTTTATCAGAAAAGAATTTTCATTCAGGAGCTCAGTCTGTTGAACTCTTCTCGTACGGAAAATTTGAGCTGCCTGACGAGTGTTTGAATTTGGACCCTGCCACAGAATTTGAGCACCCCGGGGTAAGCCGATATGGTGCAAGTTTGAAATTGAAATGATCAAACCTTTTGAATATCCTTGTTCCGTCCACGTGCACGTTCGAGGTTCTTGTTCGCTGCTTCGTAGTTGGCAAGACATCGCAGGCGACGATAAAGGAGATCCTGCAATCGATAGAGATAACATGGTAACGAACCAGGGAAACCACGGTCATCCCCTGAGAGAAAACGAGGATACTTCTAAATGATTCAGAGAAAAGAGGAGAGACCGAATCCATTTCGCATCGAGCGAAGTGGAAAACGAGACAGGAGAGAGATGGAAAGACGAAGGAGCGAGATTGCTCGATATGGACGTGAACGTTGAGAACTAGACGGACACATTCTGTTCAGTGGTAAAACTAAAAATGTCAGATCAATAGAAGCCTGCACATTGACACATGCCCAGTCCAAGCAGGAAACGTTCTCCAACAGAAGCCTTTTTCGATCAAAGCGGCTGCCTCTCAAAATCGCTTACGAGGGTTCCTGTTCTCCACAGGGGGTTTCACAAATCTGGTTCCCTCTTGCCTTTTCTACCTGGTTCGTAGTCGAGGTTCATGATCGACCTCGCTCCTTTGTTTTCCCCTCGGTAATGAAGTTGACCCTTTGTTTCCCCTCAGTAATGAAGTTGACCTTCAAACTCTTGGCGCCAATAAATAAAAAAAAAAAACAGAAATTGAAGTGGGGTTTGGCCGAATTAGGTTAAGCCACGTATTGGGCCCTTACTAGGAATTTCATATGCTGATGTGAATGGCCTACACAGGAACTAGCAGTATCGACTAAGAAAAAACAGAAATTGAAGTGGGGTTTGGCCGAATTAGGTTAAGCCACGTATTGGGCCCTTGCTAGGAATTTTATATGCTGATGTGAATGGCCTACACAGTAACTAGCAGTATCGACTAAGCAGAACCAGTAGTTTGGCTTAGGAAAGCTTGAGTAAATGGGGTGGAATAGACTTTCGTTCTGTAACCTTCTATGACGACTAAGATGTCAAAGGAAATTCTCCGCCTTTTCTATCCGCCGATGACGCTCTTGAGATCGATTTAAATAGACTTTGCTCTCATAATATTTTCCAGTCACTTCTGGTTATTCAGCACTTCACATAATGGCCAGCAAAATCCATTGGCGCTTCCTTCACGAAACGTTCTCGAATTCCAGTTCAAAAAACGCTCAAACAATATTCGCTGGCCCAAATGCATGACGGGATACATTGTTTGTTAAGGCTAAAGAACGGCCAAAGCGTCGTCGACTGTCATTGCCACTCTCTGACGCCGAACAGACGGCAACCGACGTCACACCGTCGCCTAGGGGTTGGTCCCCGCAAACAACAACCGACGTCACACCGTCGCCTAGGGGTTGGTCCCCGCAAACAATGACTTCAATGACGCAACATCGATCACATCCTGAGAGCACATTGGGAAATAGAGCGAAGGCTGACTAGTTTTGAATGAGGAATTGAATAAAATATAATGTACTTCCAAAACCTAAAAGATGAGAAACAAACAATTGTATAAGTCCTAGATAGAAAAAAAGAATATTCAATCCGTTGGCAAAGGAAATGTCATTGTATGCTTATCTCTGGACCCAAGAGAAAGATCAAA